AAGGAGGGAAGAGTTCAAGTCTTTAGTAAGGAAGCACGCCCACTGCGTAGCATTTCTATAAGCCTAATCCCAATAAAGATATAAATGTTGGGGGGGTCTGTAGGAGAGGGAGTCAAGAACATCAAGAGGGAGGTTGTGACTGCACAATTGAGCTTCACCCCTCTTTTACATGCATCGCACACATGAAGCCCGGTGAAAAGGGCCGGGCTTCAATCAGGTGGTCGCGGCCACCATCTTGATTTTCTTGATCCCCTCCCCTGCAGACACCCCGTCAACATTTCTGGTCTCTGGCCATCAAATGTGTGTGCACATTCTACCGCGCATCATACTGTAGTGACTTGGTTCTCCGTGGCGGCTGGTATTTACACGGAGAACTTTCCACAGTTGAGTTGACACACCAGCAAGGGTACAAAATGGATTGGCCACGGTGCAGTGGCCAGTGACCAAAAGTGTACTGAGGTTTTCTCACTTCTTCGTTTTAAACATTCTTGAGGTTGTCTCTGCTTGGCTCAAAGCAACTGGGTGAGTTCGTCAGACCACAGTGCCTGCATGATGGTGAGGAGGCCCTCGTTCCTGAGCAGATCCTGAGCAAGGTGAACATCTCCCCAGCAAGGACTTCACTCCGATCCTCTGTCATTCAACCCTTTCGCTGATGACAATTAGATCAGTCGCTAGCCCAGAACTAAGAACTCAATCAATTGCTGAAGGGCTTCCAGAACAACAGAGAACAGAACGGCCATTTTAAATCTAAGCAGTAGAGGATGATCTGGGATCAGAGCAGAAGATGTTTGGGAATTCAGTATGATCCAGTGGAATAGCCCAGGAAAACCAACAAATGCGTGCTTCAGGCTGCTTTCTTCAAACAACAAGATAAAGCCTTTGATTTCTTTCCAAGTGTTTTCTCAAGGGTCGTCTTCTGCGCTTCTTATATTTCCCATACAGGACAGAGTTAAAAATGTCAGTGTCTGTGTTTGTATAAGTACCAGTGTGGGCAAAATACCACATTCTGTAGATCTTCTGGAGGATAAAATACATGACCTCAGCTTCATTCGAAGGCTCATTGTAAACAATTTCCTTCATGTCCGAGTGAGCCGACATGAGAATGACTTGACTTAAATTGACAAAAACACAGATCATCACCACCATAAAGGTCCCTAAAAAAATCCCCCCCAGCAATTTGTCCGACCTAAACTCAGTGTTCCTAAATGCCACAGCGCAATACGACAACACTGTCGTGAAGGAATAAAGCAGGGTGCGGAAGTTCCACTCGTGTTGGCCAAAGGCCACATATCCGAGGAACGTATATCCATAAAAAAATATGCCACCCATGACGAATATATTGATTATTCCAGGGAGGGCTGTCTGCAGGGATTTTTGGGCTAGGCGTATATCAAACAGAAATCTGAGATAGCGGTATGTTTTCAGGACCAGGAAGAAAATCAAAATTCCCAGTACGTCTCTGACCATCTGGTCAAACTGGGAAGCCGCATGGAATGGAATAAACTCTTGGGGGTGAAGTAAGTAAAACTGCACTAAGTCAGAGGAAAGCTTGAATTTGCACGCAAACACCACCAAAAACAGCACACAGACTGACTTTATCCCAAGGTTGATCAGGTTGGTGGCAGTGGTAAAGTAGCTTAGTCGTTCCTGGTGCACCATGCGGCATTCGTCGACGATATAAATTATGAGCATGTACACAGTGAGACAAAAGAAGAAAATCTCGCTTGTGCTTTGATGGGTGAAAAAGGGGAGCTGGTAAGAATGCACGGAGACACTAGTATTTACAGGGCCCAGTAAAGAGAATTCAAAGATGACGGAAACGCTACAGAACATATTGGCATCAACGTTGAATGTTGTTAATTCGAAAATCACGGCCCATGTCTGGTTGTCAATCCAGCTGTTCGTTTCCAAAGCTTCCAACCTTTTTGTTGAATTCACTTGGGGTTCTTTGGGGAAAAAATAAAAAGTGTATCCCCTGGAAGGGTATTTATTTAATTCTCCATAGGAGAGGTACTCCCACTGGGTCGTACTTGGCTCATAACTGAAGCCTAGGAACTCCGCAGTGTGCCCAGGAACTGAGGTGTTGGTAGGAACTGCCCAGGATCCCAGGTAGTTGGCTCGGTCTTCTGGGTCAAGCCCATATTTCTTCCTGCAGTGAACATGATGCATCACAAATGTATTTTTCAAGTCACGGGGAAGTAAGCATTCCACATCAGAAGGTCCACTTCTTATTTGCCTCATTCTGGGCAACCCCAGGACTTTGGACCAGGAGTTTACAAGGTAGCTTGGGTGATAGACATTGTGAATGAGCGGCAGAAAGCTGTTGTTCACCCAGCTGTAAATATCCTCTATTCTATCCACGATGGGTAAATCAGTAGAAAACCTTCTATGCATGTCTCGATTGTAGTGAAAGGATCTGGTAATGTCTATTGGGTGCGAAATTGTTAAAATTAAGGTTAAGAAGATAAAATGGCACAACATGTCCTTTACGATTTTGTAAGATAGATACTGAACCATCTGCTTCTTTTGCAGGGCTCTAACTTCTTCCTTTTTCATCGGCTGGTATTTCTTGGAAGCTCTAAGTTGAACAAGGTCATCATGCAACTTCCGCATCTCATCGGCTTCCCTCATTGTTCTTTTGTACTTAATATCTTGATAGCTTTGCCAGGGGATGTTTTCACAGTATTTTGTCAAGCAGATATTCCAGCCTGAGAAAATAATGATTTGTAAGCTCTCAAAGAAGCTCATGTGGAGACAGAACGATGTCAGAGAAGCAATTAACCATTCAGAGGACGTTTTGTTACTGTAAGTCAGGCCGATGAATGTGATGAAAAATGACGATACCCCAGATACGAAGAAGACAAAGAACCATGTGCTACAGGCCAAATATCTGCACCATTGCAATTTCTGGGCTTTCCCCAAAGTTGCTTTCTCTTCTGCTGCATAATTATTACTGAAATTATTATCTGTGGCTGGAAATTGCTGTGACTTCGTCTCTGAAAGGTGAGTGCCTTCTTTATGAAGGTCTTCAGCCAAGCAAGGGGAACTTTCTTTCCCCCGGCCCTGAGCGATGTAACGCTCGGAAGGCTCCTTCATGGAGCATTTAAACAAGGTCACTGCAATCCATTCCATAGGAATGGAAAAAAAAGCACCAAGAATGCCAATTTTTATGGATTCCCAATACTGCAGTTCTAGGAAATAAAGATGTTCTTCTTTCTTAGTGCTGAAGATTATAGTGTTGAGCAACAGGGAAGTCAAAAGTATTGCCAAGCAGCAGGAGAGCCGCTGAAATCTGTTCAGAGAGCTGTCAATTCTGTGAACAAAGATAGAGAACCAGAGGTGGTCTTTGAACAAGCCATAGCTAAGCATTATAAAAAAATAATCAGCTCTGCTTATGGGGACTTGTGGATCAGTGACCTCAAAAGTCCATTCTATTTGGTAGTTATTCCTGCCTAGAGCCAACCACTTCCTGCACAGAAATAGCCACGACTTGTTTGTGTCTATGTTTTGGACTTTGATTCGGCTCAAGTACCAATTAGGACCGAAGCCACCGTAATCGTGCCAGATGTGGATAGAGAAGAGGTCTCCCAAGTCTTCCTTGGTAGTTAGCAGGAAAGTGTCAATGCATCTGCTCTGAAGGATCTTTGGAAATGCTGGATGGTTTAAGTGATGCACGTCACTCGACCCGTTCTGGCCAATGAGCTCAACGAACACGTCGGCTTTGGTCCCTGCGCTTGGACGGCTCCCGGTGTAGATGGTCAGAAGGTATCTCATTGTGTGAAAGGGGTCGTTATCTGGCAAATCTATAACCTGCTCTTCCACGCTAGCCCTATCTTTTCTTCTCACCCAGACGGCCAGGGAAATGTAGATTAGGAAGATGGCGAAGACAGTCAACCCTGGGACAGGGTTCTTCCCCGTCGGCGCTAAAAGGAGCATGTTCATATCAAGTTGTTTGGGAAATAAAAGTACCTTGCCGGCCACAAATCGGATTCCGGGTCTGGAGGTCCCTGCTGAATTGGATCCAGTTGACTTTGGGCTCCGTTTTTTTGCCTTGCAGACACAGTGGATTTTGGACCAGCTGGTTTGAGGGCCAAGGCTGCATGTTTCTTCTTTCCACTGGTCCTGCACGCCTTCTAGATCCAAACAGCCTGCTGCAAAAACAGCAACGCGGACCAGCTTTGCAGTTCGGTCTCTCACGACTGGGTGTGACTGTAAGACAACAGAAATGTTAAGTGTGTCCGCTCCACTGTGATGGGCATGGGACCAAAGCAATGACTTTGGAAGGCAAAGGACATATGGAACCTTGACGGCACATTCAGTTATAGCTGCATCCCTTTTCATGAGCGCTGGAGGACTGAAATGAGAAGCATTATATGAAACTAAGGGAGAATGGCTAAAATTGACGCCTAGGTAGATCAATACCTGGAAAGTAATTTTAATTTTGGGCACAAGTTGGACAAAAATGTCATTGGAGCTTCTTTTAATTTCCAAGTTAAAGCCACCCGTTGTTTTAGGAAGTTTTTTATCTGGCCCTACAGTCAAGTCAAAGATGGCCTCGTCTTTTCTGACTAAGAGCATTTCAACCACATCAGGAACAATGCTGGCTACCTCCCCTTTAGAATCGGTCCCCAGCATTTTGAATCCCGTCACCATTGTGCCAATGTTGCCAGTAAAATGCAACCAAGGAAAAGGATTCTGCGCAAATTCATAGAGAACGGTGGAAACGACACTATCGACTTCCAATTCCACACGAGAGCCCTGCTTCAGTTTTGGATAAAAGCAGTTCCTGCATTGTTTTCGGTTTGCGAAAGTTTCTGAAACGTCCCATTTTTCATCTTTCCATAGGCGGATGGTCCAGTTTTCGGCGGCCATGTTAGTTTCATGCCCACCAGGGACTTTGCCGTGTAAAACGAGATCCGCTAATATTTCCGTTACAGAAATGGCTTCTTTAACGGCATCCACATGAGGATTTTTGTGATTCAAGAGAGAAGCACTCAAGATATTGGATAACCCCGTGAGAATCCCGTGGCTAAGAATCTCAGTTTCCTTTGAACCTAAACCTTGCTCCCTGTGTTTTTTCAGAGCTTCGCCGACTTTTTTCAGTTTTCTGACTGCAAGCAGCTGCGATACCCTGTTGACTTCAGCGATTTCAAGCGTTGCTTGGCCAATACTTAGAATCACCTGATTGATTTCCCCGATATTAGTGCTAGGAATCCCTGCGGTTATATCGAGGAGGCGTTGACGCAAATCTGCTTTAGGGACCTGACTGGATGGGGAAGCTTCAATATTGTTTAAGGCCGAGGCCACCATGTATACAACGTAGCCTATCCTCAAGTAATCCTTGGTGATCAGCAACGCGGTCATAGGGGCGCTTGATCCATGGATCAAATCATGCAGTTCATGATGGGGGACAGCATCAGTCTTCTGCATTCTTTGATCAAGGACCGTGGCTTGCAAAGTGACTTGAGAAGATGAGCCAAGTGCATCATAAACTTCAACGTAGATAGTCAAAGCAGAGTTCTGGGATGGTCTACCAGGGGGGAGAAAAGTCCAGGGAGTTTGGGATTCATGTCCAGCATAGATGATTATCCCCAAAGTGTTATTCTGAATTGAGGATATGGAACTAATTCTAATTTGATCTGATGCTGCTATTACTTTATAGGAAAGAGGCTCATTTTTGTCTTCAAATCCGCTGCACTGGATAATGAATTTTGTTAGAAAAGCTGTACCTATCCTTGGATTAAGGACACACTTCCCTGTCTGGGGTGGAGCATTAACATAAAAAGAATATTCACAGATAGATGACCGTCCATCTTTCGTTATGACTTTTAGGCTCAAAATATAGGGCTGTTCCGCCATGGAGACCAGAGCAAACGCCTTGAGATGTAGATAGGAGTTGGATCTTCCAGTAGCTGTCTTGGAAGACCAGTCAAATTTGATTTCATTGGACTGGGCTGAGCGCAGTGACCAGTAATACAAGGACTTAATTTCCCTGCAGTTCGCACATTTACCAGACAGACAAAATCTTTCTGTTGGAATTACTGAAGTTCCGCAATTTTCAATGCATGCAATATTCAGAATCAGGCCACCGTGAACATGCACGTGTACGGTTTGGTGAGCCTCAGCTATCCTGCTAGCATTCTGAGCCACCAGGAGAAAATGGTATGTGTCATTTGCTTGAAGAGTTTGGGGAAGCACCGTCTGAACGGCATCGGAGGATGTGGTCCACTTCAGGTCAGCTTGATCTGGATGGCATTTCCCATCTCTGCTGAGAGTCATTGATTCATAGTCTGTTTTTCGCTTGGTGCAATACCAAGTATAGGACAGTCCCTGAGACAGACTGACCACCTCGCCGTTGGACAGGACAGATCCTCTCAGAATCCACCGGTCAGAAAACCCAACGGTCCGGAACTGGCCTCCAGCGATGACGGCCCTCCATCGATCCGACCCAATCTCCACGAGCACGGCGTCAGAGCGCTCTGTCTTCTTGGGGAGGGTGAATGAAATTAATTGCAGAGTGAAATTAAAAAGGTACAGGCCAGTCTCAAGACTTGAACTGGGGACTTTTAATATGACAAAGTTTCTTCCCTCAACACCAGGTGGGTTAAGAGGCTTTGACCAGTCTGGTGTTTCCGACAGATGGGAGACTTTGTAGATGTTCCAAGTGACGTTGGTTGCTTTGGCTCCTGGACAGTTGACCTGCATGTCTGCTGCTAGAGTAAATTCAGTCCCCTGCGCGTAATACAGGATGTGCTTGGTATGAACAGCCCGGTGGATCCTAACTTCAGGAATGGTGCAAGGTTTTTGCTGGCAGGCAATTTGGGATTCTATGACTTTTGAGGCATAAATATTAAACGTTGCTGTGAATACCATAGGAACTCTTGCGCTCTCTGTGCATTTCACTTTGGCTACAAAGCCCGCATACGAGGCAGAATTGAAAGCTAAGGCAGAGTCAGGAATGAAATGAGCTGCGTTTCGGATCTGATCAGCGTAGGCAAAACTATAGTTCTTTACCAGATTTCTGCCTATCGAATCAAAAACCTGCAACTTGAAGGTCCACTCACACTGTAGAAGAGGATGCTGCGCAGGTATGAACCATACAACGTAGACCAAGCTATTATCAGGGGAAGTGTTGTTGAAAACATACACTTCCATCTCGTTTTCCCCTAGAGTTTTGAACAGAGCCTCTTTCCGATTCAGATAGATATCCAGGCTGAATCTAAAAAACTGCAGCTGCGTGAATTTAACCGTAATCAGATAGGAGAGGCCCGCTTGCTGGTAAAGGACATAGCAGAGGCTGGAGTTGCCAGCAGGGTCATTGGTCCCACTGCCTTTTCGGCTGGAATAGTAGAGGCCCTGGGCACGGCTGAAAATATAAGTGCTAATCATGTTTTTCTGTGGGTTGAGCCTGATGGATACCGAGGTTGACCTGCTTGTCCTGAAAATTAAGGTCCCGTTTGAGTAATCGAGGCTTCCTCTCACGCTCCCTGACACCCTCTTGCTGGTATGGAAGTACATGCTGGCCACAACTGTTTCCGTGGCCCGGCGTGATGTGGGCGCAGCACAGAAATGGCTGTGCAGACCAAACGGGTTGTAATCGTAGGAGTGAGACCCCTCCAGGGACCCCTGCATGTCCAAGAGTTGGTAAGCTACTATTTCTCGGCTGAGCTGCTGCAGGTTCCAGGAGAGGCTCAGGGTCCCTTGTGGGTGTCTCTGCAGATGGGAAGTTACCCTAAAAACAAAGAGCAGGGCCGGCTCCACAAAGAAGTCCAGGCTGAGGCTGATCTGGGGTCCGGGCTCCACGCTGACGGAAGCGGTGTAGGATCCACGGTGGGGGTACTGCACGGTCAAGTGGTAGCTGTAGTAAGACATGCAGACCTGGCGCAGTTCTGCCCTGGGGTAGGCAGTCAGTGGTGGGAGCTCACTGTGCTGGTTGGTGGGAATGAGGAGGTCCTCGGGATGACCCCCTTGGCTCTTGAAGTGGTAGTGCCAGGTCGAACTCTTGAGGCGTGCACACCAGCCCAAGCGCACCGGCTGCCTTTCCAAAACGGGAAGCGTGTGTGGCCAGAGCAGGAAGAGATGGATGTCTTGCTCCACCACCGCAATGCTCAAGTTCCGATACAAGCACAAGGGAGCCGAGCATGAAGCTGAGGAGCACTGCACTGTAATCTGAGTGCTGGCCCAAGGCGGATGATGGGGGCCTTCCCTCGGCAGGCCTGGGCCGAACATCAACTGACCTGTCCAGCGAGTAGTGTGGTTGACCAGGGTGGACTCCCGGTACCAGTGGCAGAGAGGGGGCACCGGTGGCTCTGCCCCTCTGCCCTTGGGGTTCCCCCCAGGGGCTTTTGAGTAGCGCAACGCCACATATCTGTCCCAAAGACATGAGACCTGGAAAGGGTGGTCTTGTCGTTGATAGACGTGGTTCCCAGGCTTGGTGCACGTGACTGACAGTGGTGGCGGCATTAGATGAAGCGGGGCCACCAGCGTGCTGGGGGAGCAACTGGCCCAGCAGAAGAGGGGGAGCAGAGGCCACAGGAGCGGCATTGCTCCCACAGGGAAGGAAACCGTCTCTGAAGCTCAGCCGTTGCTCTGTCGCTCAGCCGTTGCCCAGCAACCTTAGGGAGGAAGTGAGCAAGTGCATTCTAGAACTTTCTTTGGTTGCCCCGGGCGACCCGTTTCCACTCTCAATATGGCCGCCAAGCTTCTTGCCCTTCCTTTCTCCTCCAGAATGCCACAGGCCTCTTTCTCCATCTTCGCTGCAGTGACAACAAGTCCTGGCATTATTGCGGGCTCAGATGGGATGCGGCAGCACTTGAGTCTCAAAGTGCTGCGGTGGCTGAAAGGATGGCGATGGAGCCAGAAGTCCTGCCCCCCCTCAGACAGGCCGATCTCTAAGGGGGACGGTCGCGTATCACACATCTGCGTCTGCAGTTGTGACAAGCACATAAGGGAAAAGTTGAGGAGAGGTGACTGGGGCTCCGGTCTGAGGGGGCCCCTCCAAGGGAAGCCAGGGACATTTGGGACTCTTTGGCTTGCCAAAAAGGGGAAACACAATCGCAGTGTATAAAATCCTTCGTGGCATGAAGGAAGAGGACAAGGAGATGATGGTTCCCTCCTTTTCTCGAAAAACGAAGCCACCCTTTGAAGCCAGCTAGAAAGAGGCTTTAGAAGAGGCCAAAGGGCACTGATGGACCTGTAGCACTCATTCCCACAGGGCACGGTGGCAGCCACCAACTTTGGCGGCTGTGAGAAACAAAGCTGCACAAATAATCCTTCTGGGTTTGAAAAGGCAACGTTTATTTCCAAGCATTTGCAAAGGCTGATGTTTCTCCGCTCGCAGGCTGCAGGAAGCGCGCCATGAGAGATTTCAGCAAGGTTTTGATGCATCCCTTCACACGTCGCGTTGGTCCTGCCTCGTTATTGCCCTGGGGTGGGGAAATCCAAGTTCACAACCTATCCGAGACGCCTAAAACGCATATATTATTCCCAAACCCCTTTTTTCTTGTTCACAGTTTCTAATTTTCTTGAGATAAGTGTTCCTCTGTTCACCGTGGCAAACAGATGGAAGGGCTTGTTTAGGGACGGTAAAGCCAACACGAGGGTAGTAATCAAACTTTGTTTTAAATTATGCACCAATTCTTCCT